CTAGTTCCAGGGGACTATGAGCATCTCTCAAAATGTCCTATAATGGTGGGTGGTGGGTCACCTGTCCTCTTGATCACGGAGGCAGAGAAGACCCCACCAGATGGACTTGAACCAATGTCCAGTCTATAAAGAGGTGGGTCAACACAGAGGAATCATTTCCTCTATGCTTCCAAGTGAAGCCAACCATGGTCGAGCAGGACCTTTGACTTATCTTCACATAGGCAGAACTGGTAAAAGAAAGGAGCCAGGGGCTCCTCCCAAGCTCATGTGAGCTAGAGTCCATGTGCATAGCTAAAGGCTAGATAACAAGAAACAATGCCAGACATGAGATACCTTCCTTTGAGTTGTTGGGCAGGGCAGCCCGAGACTCCCAGACAGTAACCCAGCATAGAACTGGGAAAATGAACAGCAGACCCCAATATTATCTAAAGGAATATTGGCAACTGCTTGCTGTTAGATGAGGAAGAGCTGATCTTCCTAAAACAAGGAACTCTAGATAGGCTTACTAGATTCAGCGGATGGACAAGCACTGGGGAATGGCTGGGGTCACTGACAACACAGTGGACAGTAACAGATTTGACAGAGTATATGGGCTCCAGTGGGGAGGGGTGCTATGGGAAGGTGCCACGTGGGATGTGGGTATATAGATGAATAAGATTGTTTGGGATGTTCTATATGAAATACACACACACAAAATCAATAAATCAATAAATTTTAAAAATGAGTTATATTTGAGGAAGAAGCATAAAAAATTTGCTTCATGTTAATTAGTAGATGTGAAAAACATTACAATTGAAATCTACCTGATGACTTTATAGCCATGCTTAGATGCCAGGGAGCTCAGAAAGTAACAGGCACCATCTATGTTTCCCTGTCTCCATTCACTATCCTAATTTACTTTCTTTTTTCTTTAAACAAATCATTAGTTAAAATTAGTTTGTTCTCAATATATTCTAAAGTGAAATGGAGATCTTTTTTAAAGGTTAAAAACTCATTCGAGTTTTTGTCTCACATTGTTTATACTGAATACAATATTGTATAAATGTATTAATTCAACTGTAAACTTAAAACTTTACAGCCAGTTTTGAAAGAGCTGCATCTTAGCTCTGGAAATTGTTATTGAATATGTCAATGCTGTTGTAATGAAATGCTTCTTCTAATTATATGTTTATTAAATAACTTAAGAAAAAAAGACCAAAAAAATGCCATCTTTTAACATATAGTGGTGCCTCGGTATCTGTGGCAGTTGGTTCCAGGACCACCTTAGACACCACAAGCTGGTGCCCAGGTCCCCAAGCAAAACAGTGTCACTATTTTACTCATCCTCTCATTCCCATATCATCTCTAGATGACTTGAGAGCCCAGTACACTGTGAATGCTGTTTTTGTTATTGTAGGGACTACTGACAAAGTGTGGACCTGCTCAGTACAGTCTCAGCTGTTTTGGAATATTCCAACTTGTTGTTAGCTGTATCTGGCCATCTCAGAGATGCTAGTGCTAATTGTGTGGCTTCCTTGCCCTGCCCTGTCCTTTCTTGGGTCTCCTGGGCTGGGCTGTCCTTCAGTTCCATCCTATAAATATGTGCTTTTATGAAAAAACATGGTTAGTCCCTGTGGTTGACTGGTGTCTATGAACATGGCTTATCTCCTTTAGCAGGCAGTGTGAGTACAAGCCAGGCCAGGTCACCCCAGGCCCTGAGTGCATGTCTAGCCCTTGGGCTGTCCAGGAGGACCTCATGACGGTGTTTGAGTGGGATGCCACTGAGTTCCTTTCTGGTTTCAGGAGGAGGCCACTGGAGAAGAACTAGAAATGACACAGAACGATGAAGACTGTGGGGTGAGAGGAGGAAGGCCGGCTGCCCAGGACACCCTGCTGGGCTGAGCTGAAGGGGAAGGGAGCCAAGAGGACAGTGGCGGTCGCTGGACTGGTTGGTGAGCCACGGCAGAAGCATGTGCGACCCAGCTCCTAACACCTCAGATCCCCTTGGCTTCCTGGGATCTGATCTGAGGTCCCTTGAATAGCCTCTGATCCTGGAGGAGAGATTTTCCATGGGCCCTGCCCACGTCTGACACCCATGTGGGCTCCAGGATGAGGGAACCTGAAGTATTCGGTGAAGCCAGGTGCTTTGTTGGGCCATTTTCCCAAGACAACTGTTAGCAGATTCAAAAGATGTCAGAAACACATTAACTCATTCATTAAAATCACTGTGGCTTCCTTTTCTCATGATTATGGTGGGAAACTATGTGATGTGGAGGTCTTCCTGAACACATACCTCTTCCCTAGTGGAAGTGGGTTCAGAAAGGGGCTGTGTTGCCCATCCATGCTGCAGAAATCTTTGGTCCATTCAGCCCTGTTGTGACCCAAGAATAAGACACCAGAGGTTTCCAGGGAGACAAGTTCCTTGGGGAACCTGTCAGCTACTTCAGAGCTCCTGGAAGACAGGGCACTAGAGCTGAATAATGTCCACTGTGCCAGGGCCAGATGGTGACCGCTGTGGGCCTTGGGCTCATATCAGACCTGATTTACAGGAGGACTCAGATTGGAACTTTAGGTGGGCTCCTCCACATCCCAGTGTAGAAACAAGGCCCCCAGATGGGGATTTGGGTCAATGGCTTTCAAGCACATGGCTGGCCCTGAACAAATAACAGCTTGTCTCAAATGTGAATTTACTTTTTGACTTTTCACATGCTTGGCCATGCTGGGGATGCAGAGCCTCACAGGACCTACCCTCAGGCTGAGTGTGAACAGGTGATGACAAAGGGCTCCTGGCACTGCCTGCCTTGGATGAGTTGAGGCTGTTCCCTGGGAGCTGGGAACTTTTTTCAGTGCCATTGAGCTCAACCATCTGGACATGTAGTCAGATTTCTCCCAGAGAAAGCTGGTCAGGCACCTTCTGTTCCCTGATTGGTCAAATAGCAGAGGCAATGGGACTTCTTTTACTTATGTATTCATGAAAGCATCTGTCTGTCTGCTCCTGTGTCCTGTCCATCCATCCATCCATCCATCCATCCATCCATCCATCCATCCATCCATCCAGTCATGCATTCAGTGTGCTTTCTCAGGGACAAGCTCTGTGCTGGGCATGTTGGATTTAACTGGCCTCAGAAAACTGCTCTCTCAGAGATTTCTTCTAGCGTGCCCATGGGAGTTTTTAATCCTTCTCACACCTATTATAGAGAGGGAAAGGCCTGTCCATGTAAAAGTAGAGTTTATAGCTCATTACAGAGATGTCATGAAGCCCCCAGTTACGTGTGGTATATTCTTAGTAAAAGAATCATCTCAAAGAAGAAAGCCTGATGTATTTGTTGAAGGCTTCATTTAAAGACTTGTAAGGTGACCACAGTCAAGAGGTTCTCTGAAGCTCAGAGCAGCCCCCACCCTTCTGGGCAGGGCCAATAAGGAATTGTCCTCCTGCTTGTGTCTGTATATGAGCTGGTTTAGGAAATCAGTTCTATTTGTTCAGTTTCTCTATGTTCTTGACTTTTTTTGGTAGGGTCTGAGGTGTTAGTGGTGGACAGGGTCTTGCTATGCTTGTATGTATTTGTCCTCAAATTCAGAGTTCTCCTCCCTCAGTTTCTGAAGTGTTAGAATTACAGATGTATACCACAATGCCTGGAGTCTTAATATTATTGTGGATTTTTTGAATTAAAAAAATTTTATGTGTATGAGTGTTTTGCCTGCATGTCTGTAAGTGTACCACATGTGTGCAATGCCCATGGAGGCCAGAAGAGGGTGTTGGATCCCCTGAAACTGGAGTTAATGGTGGGAATTAGCCACCATGTGGGTGCTAGATACCAAATCTGAGTCCTCTGCAAGAGCAGCCAGTATTCTTAACTGCTGAACCTCCTCTCTAGTCCCTTAATATTATTTTTTAGCAGCTGTTAAAATATAATTTACAAACTGTAAAATTCGCACATTTGAAGTACATAATTCAGTGACTTTTAGTGAGTTTTCAGGCTTCTCTAGCCACCACCTCAATCAGTTGATCAAAGGAGCCATGTGCTCATTGGCACACTCTCCCTTTTCCTTGAACCCCATCCCTAGGTGGCTGCTAATTCACATTCTCTGGCTCTAGACTTGCCTGCTCTGAACATGTCGTGTAACCAAAATCATATCCTAGTGGTCGCTGGTAGCCGATTTTCTTCCCTTAGGATAATTGTGCTCAGAGGTTCACCCATATTACAGTATGTATGAGCACTCCATTCTTTTTTATGACCGAGAAACATTCCAGGTATGGATGCATGCTGCATTTTACTTATTCAATTCACCAGCTGATGAACTTTTAGACTGAGTCTAGCTTTGGCTAGAATAATAAAATCGAGAATATCATTAGTTTTAATTTGCATTACTCTGATGACTGATACTGAACACTTTAAAAAATATTTATTATTTTATTTTATGTGTATAAGTGTATTGCCTGCAAGTATGTAAGTGCACCTGTGTTGTGCAATGCCCACGGAAGTCAGAAGAGGGTGTTTGATTCCCTTGGAACTGGAATTATGGATGGTTGTTAGCTGCTGTGTGGGTGCTGGGACTCAAACTCTAGTTGTATGTAAGAGTAGGCAGTGCTCTTAACTGCTGAGCCATCTCCTCAGCCCCCTGAACATGTTTTAGAATATTTATTGGACATGTGTATTTCTTCTTTTAAGAAGTGTTTGTTCAAGCTGGGCATGGTGGGACATGCATCCCACGTGGATCTCTGTGAGATTGAGGCCAGCCTCGTCTACATAGTGAGTTCCAGGCCAGCTGTGGCTACAGGGAGACTCTGTCTCAAAAAGACAACAACAAAAAAGAACTGTCTGTTCAATTCATTGGCCAATTTATCCATTGACTCTGTGTGTGTGTGTGTGTACATGTATGTGTACGCATGTGCTTGTGTGTAATTTTTGCAGTTTCTTTTATAACCTAGATCTTAACCCCTGGCTGTAGGAGGCAATCTAAATGTTTGAATTTGATGTGGTTCTCTTTCTAGAGAGTGATTAATCTGCAGCTTTCCCCTCTTTCTTCGGGCTGGAGCCCAGCAGGGCAATGGGAAATTTAAAGTTAGTTCCTAAGTATTCATCTCAAGAATACGAGATTCATGTTTTGTCCTTTTCTTGTCCTCTTTGGCTCCTCCATTTCATATGGGGCAAAAAGTATTCCTGTGGAGAGGGAGAGAAAGGAGTGGTTGGTATCTTGGGCTCATATCACAGTCACAGGAATACTGAGAGCCCAAGACTGTCAGAGTTGGGTCTCCAGTTTGAGGGGAACCCTGGGTCATCTTCAGAGGAGACCTTAAGAAAATGTAATTTCCTTCCATATCAGAAAAAATTCTGCAAATGGCCACAGAAACTGAGTACTTCTGCAAAGGTTCAAGGGCTGCTGAATGGAACTGGCTTATTCTTGGCACCTATTTCTACCAAATGAGTCCCCTTCCCATCTCCTAGCTGCTAGAGGGGTGGCATGGAGGTATTGAAAGGGCAGCAAGGGTATAAAGGTGCTGAATGTCATTTCTGATACTGGAAATGCAAATCCAGTAGGACCACAAGGACCACAAGGACCATGGCTATATTAGTTACTTTCCTGTTGCTGTGATAAAACATTGTGACCAAGGGAACTTATAGGAAGAAGAGTTTATTTGAGCTTACAGTTCCAGGTTCCCGAGGGATTAGAGTCCATCATGATGGGGAGGCGTGGTGAGGTGGCCAGAGCAGGAGCAGGAGGATAGGTGCTCACATCTTCAAGCAGGCACAGGAAGCAGGCTTAAGAACCCTCAAAGCCGGCCCCCAGTGACTGCTTCCTATGGCAAGGCCACACCTTCTAAGACCGCTCAAAACAGCACCACCAACTTGGGGACAAAATGTCCAAATACTTGGAGCCTATAGGGGACAATCTCATTTAAACCACCACAGTGGCCTTGATGTTCTGGGGTGTGAGCTGGGGTGCAGAGACATGCAGTTACAGAATATTACACAATACTACAATGCTACATTTTGAAAATGAAAATCAGCAATTCTTAAAGTAATTTGTCTTTTTGAGGCCGAATCTTGCTATGTAGCCCAGGCTGTCCTTGAACTTGGAAACCTCCTGCCTCAGCTTCTGAATGCTGGGCTGGGGATTCTATGGTTTCTATGTTAGGAAATCAGTGTGTGTGTGTGTTGCTGGGGATTGAACCCAGGGCCTTGTACATACTTGACAAGTGCCCAATTACTGAACTACACCCCCCAGTTCCAGAAAATAATAAAACTGTATTGTAAACCAATCGATGGTTTAAAAAGTTTGAGATGAATTGCTTTATACGTCTCTGAAGCTTTTCTTCTTCTTCCTTTCTACGTGGTCCATGGCGACAGTCAGGAGGGGAGCTAGGAGAGGGTGCCTACCATTCATGGTTCCTCTTGTGATCAACAGCCCCAGCCGAACCCTTTGAGAGTTAAGGGCTGATGCCCAGGACAGCAGCCTTCTGTTGGTAAAAGTGCTGCCCTCATTTATTATTGTACAGTTGGCCCTTCAGCGGTAGGTTCCGCACCTGCAGGTTTGACTCCTGGTGGAAAATACGTTTTACAAAGTTGCCTGTGTAATTGAATGTGAGAACCAGTTCCCCCTATGTCATCATTCCCTAAACAATACATTTTAACAACTGTTTACACAGCATTTCCTCGGTATCTGGACATGACATAGGCTTTTAGGGAGGATGCATGCAGGCTCTGCAAATAGTACATCATTTTATACACAGCATTCTCTGATTTTGGCACTTAGAGGGAACTGTTCTAGAACTGATGTGGGATACCAAAGGGTGACTCTGTTTAGTTCTGATCTCCTGCACAGTTCACCCTCAGGAGTGTAAAATCAAGACCCAGTCTTCCACCACACCTCATCTCTGTCTCAAGCTCTGCCCTGGCCAGTGGCTGAGAACACCATCTTGGTAATTCCATGTACCTTCCAGTGTCGCCTCACTCCAGACATGGTTGATGCCCTGGCAGCTCTTTCTTTCTGCAGTCTGCTCTCAGGGTACAAGCTTGGTGATGTGGGGACACCTACTCTTGGACTATACTGGTGGCACCTAATTCTACTGCTGTTGTGGTCTCTGGTCTCATGCTCTGAGCCCTGTTAGCCATAGGGATTGAGCTGGTAGTCTTTCCCACCTGGGCCTTGCCTTGTGACCCTGCTGGCACCATGCCTCCTGTGGTCCCAACCAGGAAGTGACATTGTGGCTTGTAAGTGCCCTTCTTTCCCTCTGTCCTCTGCTCCTGGCCACATGAAGGCCTCACTTCCCGAGATGTCGTAGTTTTGCTTTAGGGCTGCCTCTGCCTGACACTCCTGTGTAGTCCTCCTGAACTCTTGGACTCTGGCCTCTCTTTTGAGGGAGTGGGAGATCTTTCCTTCTCAGAGATCTTTAGCCTGGACATGTTTCCATTCTGGAGTCCCCAGAGTTTGAGAGTGAGTCTGGTTTTTCAGACTTTAAAACCAGTAACTGGACATTTTGATTTCCCTAAAGACCTCTGCCCCCATAATAAGTACAGAACCAGACTGGGATTTCACCCTGGTCACCAGGTGTCAGCCAGATCTCTGAGCTCATCCTGTCACCCCAGTGTCAGGATTTGATACAAAGCGTTCTCTATAGGTTTAATGTGTTGAAAACTAGGCCTCCCACTAGTGGATAGAATCATTGAGAAGTAATTGGATCATGAAGGCAATGACCTACACTGTGGAATAAGCACAGATGGATTTTTAAAATTTATTTGTTTGTTTATTTATTTTATACATACATACATACATACATACATACATACATACATACATACATGGCATGGAACCCAGGCAGGGCCTTGTGCATACTAGGCAAGTGTGTTGCTACTGAGCTGTATTTGGAGCTGGATTCATATTTGATGGAACAACTGGAGATGGTGGAAACTCCTGGAGATGGGGCCTAGTTGTAGACAGTAAATGGGGCGGGGGGCAGGTCTTTAAAGGACACATCTTGCCTTTGGCTCCTTCCTGTCTCTCTTTGCTTCCTTTCAGCTGTGAGGTGAGTGGCTCTCACCTTGGTGACAGAGACTGAAAGCTCTGAAACCATGAACCAAAATAAATCTGCTCCTTTAAACTGCCTCAGGCATTTGTCTGGGAGATAAGAAACCAACTGACATACAGCAGAAAGTTATAGTCTCCATTCTCTCTCTTTGGTGATTCTTACAGGCTAGAGCCTCCTGTGGTGGTTGTGGCATGTGGACAGTGAGGGGGTGGGATACCACTGCAATTTCTATGACCTCATGCATAGCTCGGAAAACACACTGTTAGGACTGTTGTCTATTCAGTGTGGTGGGAGATGGGCACTGTCATCTCAGGATTGGGAGGAGCCTGGGGTAGAGTTTCAGTGAGGCCTGGATGGCTGTGTCCCTTCCCAGTACCTGTGGGGCCTCACTGATGGAATGAAGAAGTGGTGGGTGTTGGGGTTTAAAAATGGTTTGAGGGTGTCCCTCAAGGCTTTTGTGTTGAAATTTAATTTCAGTTGTGAGGTATTAAGAGGTTGGAAACTTAATCCAACTATGGTGGTATGGAAGTGGGGCCTCTGGCAGTGTTAGCAACAGAAAAGTTCATTGGGGGTGGGGGGTGGAGCCATCATAATGGAAACT